TAAGAGCTTATTTTGATGTCTAAAAGTGGAAGGGGATACATGGCTGCTGCTGATCACCCCTCCCGCTGAATGATATTAATTATTGCTAAACTGTTGAACATTTTAATAGAATGTGAGATTGATTGCAGTACAATATCAATTTTTTCCCTTTTTTCTTTCCATTATTAATAATGATTCTGCTTTGGGAACATACAAAGTTATGAATGGGTATTGTATGATATGATAGTTACTCATCTTTCCACTATTGAATGCAGTTAGCTGTTTTAGCAGGGGATTTTCTGCTTTCCCGAGCTTGTGTTGCACTTGCCTCTTTGAGAAACACAGAGGTACGGATGGATTATTATGTACTAATATACTGAGATAAGCAATAACACGTGGGACTATATTTCATGCTTTTTGGCTCATATTGTTTCTGATATTAGGGATATGAGAGACTTGGCTACAAAGGTCCACATATTCGATAAAAAAATGTTATTTAGATTTAACGCATAATCTTGATTCTTATTAGCCTATAACTAGAAAGTTTATTTGGTGGGGTCAGGCTGCAGGGAGGTGGGGGTGGGGAGGGAGTGTTGTGAGTCCCTTAATGACTGGGATTTGGGACTCAATTTGGAATGGTATATTACCAAGGTCCATACTATCTTCCAGGTCCACCTCGATGCCGTTGCTTATTATTTTTAGCACATTGCAATGTTCCATGTCATGTAAGCTACTACGAAAGATGATGGAGCAAGAATAAAGTATCTTAAGGCCATACAAGTAATACGAAAGAGCAAAATCCCTGATATATTTTATTCAATCAAATGTGTCAGCTCCTTATCTTGTCAAGCAAACCAGTTAATTTAGTTTTGCCTCCCCCTTCCTTCTTATGAACTTTCACACTCGGAGATAAACTACTGAATCAATTTTTTCATCACCAAACACGACAACCTTCAACATTATCATCCACCAGTGAGGTATGAAGGTGATCTGCCTGAAATATCACTAAGTCTGGACATGGATCCCATACCTTTTCATAGTTATATTCTCAAGTATCACAGACACAAGGATGTGCTTTCACTTCAGTTGTTTTAACATGTTTTTGCATCATTTTTGTGCATTTGTAGGTTGTATCATTACTGTCAACGGTTGTTGAGCATCTTGTGACAGGTGAAACCATGCAAATGACTACCACATCTGATCAACGTTGTAGGTACACTGCTCTGCTGCTTCTGTCATATATTTACATTTTGTTTGCTTTTTTCTATTTGCTTGATACATGATGTGAGTAGATGTTTAGGCCATGTAGTGTTTGTAAACCATTAACTCCTTAATATTTGTTCCTTTTCCCTTGAGGTAATAAACTACTATGTTATAAAAGTATATCTATAGGTGTGGCATTATTAGGTTGGGATTTGGCTTGTCTCGTCTTGTATGTAGTATGCTGCTCATCTTTATAGTTTTTTAATACATGAAAAAATTCTTGAATAATGCCACTTAGGGGTGAGAATTGGGGATTATATGGAGGAAAAAATTAAAGTTGGGGGATGTTACAACTTACAACGAAGCGTGTTGTAGAGAGAGTGGAAGTGAGAGAGACAAAATAGGCATGCATAACTCATACTTATAATACTCAATCTTCCATTTTCAAAAGCTTCAATTAGTTGAGTGTGTGCAAATCATTGTTGATATTATGTATATAAACAGATTTTTTTTTTTTTTTCTATAGATGTCTTGATTCAGGTTTCTTTAAGATTTAAGTATTGCTATTTATGATCAAATTTGGTATTCGTTGCAGCATGGAATTTTATATACAGAAGACTTATTTCAAGACTGCATCACTGATTTCAAATAGTTGCAAGGCAATTGCCGTTCTTGCTGGGCATACAACTGAAGTTGCTACATTGGCTTATGAGTATGGAAAAAATCTGGTGAGTAAGCTCTTGGAATTCTTTTGTCTAATTTTCTTGACGAGCAAGCTTAATTCTAGGATTTTTTTTATGATTTTAATAGTCATGTTCCAAACGGAAGCACTTATAGAGAAAAATAATAATAATAATTATATGCTCAAACAATGTATATTTTCCGATGGTTTTTTGACATGCATGTTCGATTGATGGGTCGATGTGCGTGCATGTGAATCAAGCTGACTAATTTTTTTTGCTTCAGGGATTGGCATTTCAATTAATAGATGATGTTCTTGATTTTACGGGCACATCGGCTTCACTTGGAAAGGGCTCTTTATCTGACATCCGCCATGTAAGTGTTGATTGGTAATGGAATATTTCTAGAGTTTTTCTATTAAAACACCATCTCTCATCTGACTTCACCCCAATTTCTTTCCACACCCCCTTAAAATTTTATATTTTAACTTCTGCTAAGTTCACCATATTTATTCCAAAAACATCCTTAAACACTAACACCACCCCCACCAACAGATAAATTACATGTTTGTATGTGTTTTAGTTGTTATCAATCCCGATTCCAATTTAACATGAATTGCCCCATTTCTAAATCAAACCCAGTGGGGAAGTCCAGATCAATCCGTCGAAAGAGAAGCCATCTCAGTAAAACTATATATTGTAATTCCGTTAATTAGAATCATTAACCAATTTGTTTTGTAACTAATTGTCTAATCACTAAGTTCAGCAGCCACCCGGATTCCTATCAAGTATGAACCCAAGTAAGTTTTATAGGTTGATGTGTAGATAAGTATGAACTCAAGTGATAGAGAAAGATGAGCGATAGAGGAAGATGCAGGTTTATTTTGTTTTTAAAAAAGATTAGGGTTTGTAGGGTCTATATAGATATATGTCCTCTTTTGTCGTTTCATACAATTAAAATTTTAAAACAAATTAGACTTAAGTAGTGGCGTGAACTTAGCTAGGATGTGGTGTTTAAATAGAAAAACCCTATTTCTTTGTTTGAACACGTGAGGTTTGTCTCTCTCTCCTGCTCCTTACTGAGCTAGGTACATCTCATGGCTGAGTTTGGTAGCTTAAAGTGAGAGTATATCTGTGTCTGTCAGCCTGAAAATGTTTTGGTTTTTCTAATTTGCAATAACAGTATTCATCTTTCATTCTTTCCTCTCTTTTCCATATTTGCATGCTCAACAAGCTTGCTTGCTTGCATTTTCTATGAAGAAAATGCATGGTGCACTTGACCTTAAGATACTATGTATTTCATGGCCAGTATTTTAGCGTGTTGAAACCTTCAGTTCATAGTAAATTGAGAGAAATCCTCAACTATTCTAAATCACGTCATGCTATGTTTTCAACTTTCATGATTGAGAGCCCCCTTACTTTTTTAGTTATTTGTCATAATTTTGTGCTACTATATAATTGTTTTGTAGGGCATCGTAACTGCTCCAATATTGTTTGCCATGGAAGAGTTTCCTCAGTTGCGTACAGTTGTTGAACAGGGCCTTGACAACAACCCTGCAAATATTGAACTCGTAAGTTTGCATAGTTTGCTTCACAAGTTTTATTACTGTAATGTTTTATTTTAGTGTGATTGTGATGCGATTTCATGATGAATGCGATCTGGTTTTTCTTTTCGTCGAAAGTCTTTCCTGCAATTCCATTATTAGTAGCTGATATTGAAAATTTGTACAGCCAATGTCCCAACTTTTCTTTTAAAATTCGACAGTTTTGACTCATTTCATTGGTCAAGAGTTTGGCATGTCAAGTGTTTGGAATTACTTCTAAATCCTCTTGGCAGACGTCAAGCATGATGTAGTAATCCCTTTAAAAAGAAATATTAAGTTTGAGAAATCCGCCACCTGATAGTGCCAAGACTGAGACTAGTCCTCAGGAAGTGCTGTTGGGGGCTAGTTTGGCGTTGTTTCAAAGAACCTGCCCATCTAAACCTGTTTCTGTCGTCCAGCTTTAGATAATGTTTCCGTTTCCTATTTTTCGCCTCATTAAATGTCCAACTCTAACCAGTATTGTTCATGCAATCTTATTAATGAGAGGTGAAAAGCAGAAAACAGAAACAATTTTTGAATGAATATGAATAGTTGAATGCAGTCGACTTAGTTTTATTGTGTTCAATTCCTGTTATTGGTTTTCATGGTATATTTCTACAGGCTCTTGACTATCTAGGTAGGAGCCGCGGAATACATAGGACAAGAGAGCTAGCCACAAAACATGCAAACCTTGCCGCTGCAGCAATAGAATCTCTGCCCGAGAGCGAAGACGAGAATGTAAGAAAATCAAGGAGGGCACTCCTAGATCTCACCCACATAGTCATTACAAGAACCAAGTGATGGAGAAGATCTGGCGCCATATTGACATAATAAGGTGTCGAAGTTCCAATTATTTGTCATTGCCCCTATATTGAACTTCATTGTCCCCATAAGAACGAGGGACGATTCGGTTTTCTTCATCATATTCTTTCAATCATTTCGTTTTCTTTTCCAAAATTTGTTACGCAGACTACATTTTGTTTTGTAAAATTCACTTTACCCTTAATTGTGTAAATTAAACTCTCGAGTAACAAATGATGTAATTGGATCGTATTCGCTCGGCTTCAAGAGTGAAGCTAGTAGCGACTTTCGCCTCTGGTTTCCGATGTTTGGAGGATGCTCAGAGTATTTTGGAGTCTTGTTTTGCCTTTCCTTGTTCTTAAAATGTTTAAATGTTATTCGTCGGCTTCTCCGAACGAAAATGGCATGCAGAACTACAGCGTCTAGAGCCTGGTGATCTCTCCAATTGTCATTGCTAGTGCTCATCTTGTTGATGCTGAGCAAGTGCAAATTTAGATGAAGGTTGTGAGAAAATGGGTTACATAAACGGGGCGAAACACCAAGCGGCCAACTACTACAATCCATGTGTAATCGTTAGTAGCGGTGTACCCGTGTCATATAATTCATTCCTCCATGCAGGAGGCCAAGGTTTTGTCTGGGGTTATATGCGTGGTCCGTCCGCTGGTAGTTTCTTAGAATTTCTCCTTGCGAGACCACCTTTCTAAATGATGATTGTACATGTCAAAGCGCACCCCATCAACAAATGTAATCAAAGTTAAAGAACATTGAGTAGAAATATGATTTTCTCAACACGTCTGGATGGTCCGGACAGGACGGGACTTTGTATGAGAGTCAAAAAGGGACTCAAAAATAAAATATACAGATACAAAAAACCAAGCGTAATTAATCGAACAAATTAATGTACATATTTTTCACAAGAAAAGGATAGCGACCGAGTTTTCATACAAAGTTGCTGATGCTTATTCTTCACTTGCAACCTTGGAGTAAAAAATGAGTTCAAAAGGCATAAGTAATTCAGATCATCCACTAAATAATGAATACATCTTTGGAGATGAACACAGCCCATGCATCCTACAGTTCCCACATCATTACTTGTCAGAATTAGTCTAATTGTTCTTTGTTAACAATTAGGGTTAGTAATTTATCCCTCGAGGCGGGGGGCTGTTTTTCAAAATGGACCACGAGGTTTTAGTTCTCGATAGATAACCAAATATTTATTTACCTGGAGGATGGTGAAGGCCTTTTCAGCAATATATTTTTGAGCAGATGTTGCTCCTCTTTGTTGCAGTTTGTCTGGGTGGAGGCACAGCCTTGCTTTCTGATAGGCTTTCTTCACCTGTGAACTTTCTATTAGGCTTGTCAATGGAATTGCATACCATCCACTGTTGGGCCATACAATCTGATCCCCAGTCAACACCACACAAAACAAACCATGTAACGTGAACTATCAGTGGCCGATCCTCCTTACAGATTAATCAGTGTTTGATCCGCATGCATAAATGTTTTCAGTTGTGCTTTCAATAAGTTACATATTCGCACGTAAGAAGAAACAAATCTTTATCTGTAAGGAGCCGTGCAGTATTAATTATTCAAAGTAAATCCAAAGATCTTTACTTACATGGTGTAGCGTCGAAAGCAGCATACGAATGTTGGATTCCTTACCAGATGACCATAACCTTATGTCTTCATCCAAGAGCTCCAATTCCAACTGTAATAATATATAAGACACAAAGCATTGCTCAAACTTATGGTATAATTATTCCAAGTACAAATTTATGCAGCAGAATATCATGCAAGAAGAGAGAGCTTACATCTTTATCTGAAGGTTTCCTTTCGTCTTCAGTTATCCATGTCCTTTCCTCTTCATCCTACCCAACAAGTCGATGTTGGAAAAATGATAAATAATGTATATATACACGTAGAATACAGTTCGCCCCATGCCTTCAAGATTAACCAAAATAATTTACCTCTGGAGATTGAGTCAATTCAAGAAGTAGTTCATCTCGCTGCTGATGATCCGAGTACTCATCCACATTAGGCCTACCTAAATGATCCATATATATATATATATATATATTATATGTAGTTAGTACTCAAGCATAATTTGAAATTCCAGGGTTTAGGGTTCAAGGTTTCGGGTTTAGTTTAGAGAGTAACAAAAATCACCTTCATCCATCGACTGCTGATTGTCTCGTTGTGTCGAGTTCTCTTCTTTCTCGGAATTACTATGTGTTTGAAACTTCTCTTTAGCCCATGCAATTGCTTCTTCAATACCAACTGCGTCTTCTCTTTGCTGATCAGAATTGATCTCAATCACATAAGAGCTCATCACTTCATCATCATCTTCTTCTTCTTCTTGTTCCAATACCCCCACTTCTTTCTCCTGCAAAACGCTATCCCAAATCCCGGATTTAATCTCATGTTCTTGGCAGAGTGAAGAGACTGCTGAGGATGGTGAGGGGAGCTCCAGATCATCCACAGGTAATTTGACACTTCGACGCGAATTGGGTCCAATACTAATGATTTCTGGGGACAAGACCTTCCTTGTGAATCCGAAATTGTTGGAGCTCCTGAACTTTTCATCATATAATTTTTCCAGGACTTGGTTTTCATTGAAGGAAAGAGGGTTGCAATGCATAGCTGATGTGCCTTGTTTCTTTGGGTGTTCATTTGTTGGCTTCATAGTTGATGAGTTCCATCTACATGGTACATTTAGTGGTCTGTAGAAATCAAGAATATGTTGGGTTGAGAAAACTCATTGATAATTGGATTACTAATTTTTTTTTAAAGATAAATTGGATCTTAATCTTCTGATTAAAAGTAGAGAATTTTAACGAAAAACTCTTGGTACTGTTCATTTTAACAAAAAACCACATTTTTTACACTAAAAAGTCAATCCTGGTATAATTCACTTTACCTTTTACTTTGTCATTATCGTTAAAACTCAAAGTTTCAAACCATTTTAGTTTTCTTTTAAAAATAATGCTGCCACTTAGTACTACAGTCTAATAATATTCTTCTTCACTTGTAAGTAAGAGGTCTTAAATTCAATTCTCGCCAAAGGTGAGTTTGAACCACATTATTGCTAGCTCATTGTGAGGTTAAGCCCACCCCTCCCCTTGCCTAATGTGAGCTAAGTCCACCCCTCCCTCTTAGTGTAGATAGTAGATACTATCGTTTGTTAAAAAAAATAAAAAAAAAATAAAAAAAAAAGCAATGCTATAGATGACACATTTTTGTACTGCGTCTGAATGCCAAATGATGGATACTGCGATAAAAGTATTAAGATTTAATTGACGTAACATGTACACATTGCTTAACAGAAAAGAAAAAAAGTGTTTAAAATGTTTTAACTTAGTTAACTTGACCCAAATGTTAAAATATTTTAGCTATTTTATCCAACCAAAATCTTAAATTTACTTGGGACCAACCCAATAAATCCAAGGCATAAATAAATTAAAAAACACTAATAATAATTCATAAGAATAGTTATTTTTTTATTTAAAATCCAAATATTTTGGCCAAAAACAAGATTTAAATACCCTTAGTATTTAACCAAATTCAAGGCAGAATGAGTGCAAATATAAAGCAATGTCAAGGGTATAATCGTCAAACTAAATAACAGCGGCAAAAACAGTTGGCCGTACCGCGAACTGACACATTCACTACAGCAAACTACCTGAGCTTCGAAGCGAAGGAGGAGAATGCCACGTCATCTCCGATGACCGGCCGGAGAGGACTCAGCTCCTCGGAGCTCAGCACCGAAGACGAGTTCGATTTCGCCTTCGAATTCGGCCTCGAGCGCTCTCTCGACTTCCGCTGGCGGCCATCGTCGTCCGATCCAAAAATATCACAATAAAACCCCTCGTTCCTCGCCGGAATTCTAAACGCCGGCAAGCTTCCCCCTCTATTCTTCGCCGTAGAGCAGAAATTCGGCGGCCGGAAAATCTCCTCGTATAAGGAAGTCGAGCCACGGGAGAGTTGGCGCAGAAGTACGCTCCGCGGCGGTCCGCCGAATACGTCGGCATAGTCGTCGGGATCAAGGGTCATATGGGAGTCCTTGGCGGCCGCGGCGGCAAATATAGAGCGCGTGGAGGCGTGCTCAGCGGAGCGCCGCCGCGGGAGGCCCGGCATTAATCCCATGCGCATGCGCCACGACTCGTCCATTTTAGTCGGAGAATTTATGTGCGGAAGAGAAATTAACTTGGAGAAATTATGATGTGTGTTGTTTTGATATATACAGAAGAAGGAAGAAGAGATCGTATGATATACATGATATGAAGAAATGGAACTTTGTGACAAAGTTTCCCACTTTTTTATATTTTGGATGGGGTTAGTTGGGCCCTCTAATTTCTTTATGAATGTGATAAGTTTTGTGATGATTTGAAATGTTGATGATGGAATGTGTTACTATGAATTCTACGTCGGAAAAATGAGAGATTTTGCATATGAAGTTTTTGGGATATTTTTTATATTATCAATTAATTTTATGGTGAAGTTTTAATTTTCTTTTGTGGAATTAGAGCAGTTGTTTCATGTTTGAAACTCAACGGTCACACGTGATCCACGTTAACCGATTCATGTTGTCTATGTGTTAGGCTTCCAAATTCATCACACATGAAGGAGGTGCACTTAGAGTACTAAATCTCTCATCGAGAAAAGAAACGACATTGCATGTGTTTATAAGTAATTGGGCTACTGATTGGTTTTATGATGAACTGAAACCTCAACGTTCTTTCATAGTATTAAAGCATGTTATCCCATGTGTGAAGCCTAATGGCTACACATGCTCCACATCACACAATTTGTGTTATCTATGAATTAAATTTGAAAATTTGTCACACGTAAAAATATCCTAAACCCTAAACCCTAAAACCTCAATTTTCTTCAAAATGTAACGTGTGAAGGATAGTGTGAGGCATAACCTAGGCTCATTGCTTCTCTGGAGATTATAGGGGAGTTTGGTTGATTTCGTAGGGAAAAATGATTTCTACAGGCTTTTTTTATATTTTCTTTGTACATATTTATTGATTTTTTTTAATTATATAATTCAAAAGTCGAAGGTAAATAAGATACGCAAAGAAAGAAAAAAATCATTTCTTAAGGGGTTTGCAATTCATTGCTTAATTTGTCCCCACAAAGATCATCCAAGGTCATTTTTTATCAAACTTTTCTTTTTGGATTTTGGGTGAGTTTTATGCTTATGTTTGTTGAATCCCACTATTTTTGTATCTTTCCTAACCTAACGCCTCTGGTTGGTAAGTGATTCCCTTTGCTAAAATAAATTAATTTCTAACTAATTAATATCAAGTAAGTGAGAATTTAGGATTCGACTTTGAGTTGGGTAAACCTCAAAAGCCAATTGTACTATTTAGGTATCAAACTCATTACCAAGTGCGTTAAACCTGAAACCTTCAACTTCAAGTGAAGAATATCATATCACTAGATCATAGAGTTAGTATGAGTATGCCCTGCTTTGATATATGGTTTTGTTGCGTATTTAGGGATTAGCTTAAAATGACATTTTTAGTGTCTAATAACAACTCTCTTCAATAAACATAAAATGAAAAGGTTTGTTGAGTGTTGACGTAGATAGCTATCTAGCTTAACGAGAAAAAAACTGAGTAAGGATTGTCCAATACATCATTTGTAAGACAATTGTTGTTTAAGTATGATATTCTTTGTATTGTATGATTCTCGTGAATCTCATCAACTTCGTATAATCTTAATTAATATGAAAATTATCGAAATAAAAAGAACATATCAAAAATTTACTCTAACTTAACTAATTATTTTTTAAAAAGGGTTCCTTAGTTTCTGTCATCAGATGTCTTAAACTCACTCTCCAAGGGCAATAGTAGTTGACAATGCATGCATGGTGGAATGTACACTTTTGACTATGCTAGTACAAAACTTGGTATGTATAAGTGCAATTTCAAAGTCTCAGTTCGGTTTATGAAGAGTGAACAAAACCCAATCATATGATACCACTTACTATATGTGTCTTATGATTTATGCTAATAATTAAACAAAGAATTAACTTCAAAGTTAATTATCAATCAAGGAGAAATTTTTCATTGTGCCGGAAACACTGTCTAATACTGTGATACACCAAGCGTCATAATACAATTGGTTGGAATTTTTTTTTTTTTCAAGTTTTCAACCAATTGTATATTACACTTGATGTAACGCTCTATATTCCTAGCACATTAAAAAGTCTGTCCCACTCAAGAGATGAAGGAAAGAGAAGTTTAGAACAAAAAAAAAAAATGAAGTGTGGATAATAATTGACTAATATTCTCGTTCAACATCAAAGATTTGTTGTCATGTATGATTAAAAAAATATGAGTCACAGGGGGAAGGGAATGGACTATTGGAATAAAATAATTAAAGGAAAGAAATCATGCAAAGCACTTTGATGCCCCTTTTTACCACTTTTTCCCTTTTCGCATTGCATATGGGGTTCAACAATGAATTCTTGGTTCTTGTAGTGGGGTGCATTTCCTGCCAATTATTCCAAGTTGATTTCGTTGGCTTGAGAATCTTTCTAAAAAATTTGAGACTTTTGGCCTCATGGGAGAGTTTCGTTTGTTTAATTTCATAAGATTTATAGTCAACATACATGACTGAAAGTAGAATGATTCTATATTAACTGCATTTTCTTTAATTTAGACTTGTCGTCAATGTAAAATTTGATATTGTTGATACTGAGAACTTATAGACATAGTTATCGACATGTGATCGATTCAACTGTCAATGTGTGGTCGCATATGATCGATTCAACAAGAAAGGAAAGAAATTGGTTATTTAGTTAGTGTCTTCAACGACGGAGTTGGAAATTTTTCACCGGGTGGGCTAACTTAAAGATTTAAATCTTTATAAATAAAGAAACTTGATACTATATTTTTTACAGTATCAGCTAGCTTAAGAAAATTTTCACAAGGTGAGCCACTTTCGTTATTCAAACAAATTCAAACTTGTACATGTACAAGAAACAATGAGAAAAAAGATGTGAGAAAAAGAGATGGTTTGTAAATTGTATTATATAATTAAACCAAGAAAATTCAACTCAGTGACTAAATATATGGTGGGCTACTTTCGAAAATCAATAAAAATTTCATGTAAAATTTTTATTTTCTACCAAAAGCTACCTGGGCTACAGCCCAGGGTAGTCCTTATGTGGCTCCGCCGATGAGTGAATTTGAATGTAGAGTGACTTGCCTGCAACGGAAATGCACACCCTTCTGTGTGCCATCTCGCCAAGAGTGAGAAGACACGGAAGGGGTCTTAACCTATTGTAGGTACAGTAATCTCAGCAGTCCTTTGAAGGGCCACCTTCAATCGATTTTAATATTGGAGGCACAATAATGTCAGAGTCTTCAAGCTTCATCAATTATGTGCCCCTCAATTATTCTAGTGCTCACTGTAAACAACTTGCTGAGTTGATCACACATATGGTCGTCAGTTTTGCTGCGAAAACTCTGCAATGCAACGGCATGTGGGATGCATCGCTGCAGTGGACGTTCGTAGTTCCTGTGCATCACTTACACCGGTGTACTGTAGGAGACGTCTTGCTGTCTAGTGTGTCAAGTTCTGCAGCATCACTTCTTTTGAAGTACTTCAAACGGAAAAATAGTTGAAAGATCAGATGCCATTATCTCGTTCAGTTTCGTATTACATCGACAAGAGAAGCAGCAATCGGGCTGGCCAGGCACGAAAATATGAAACATCAATGAAAGTAAATTCATCAATCCAAGAGAAACATCTCCAGAAAAAAGGAGGAAGAAGAAGCAAACGTACTGGTGCAGACGTAGTGCACACACGATTACTGACTGTTACGTTGGAAAAACCCGAAAAAACCAAAAGCTACGCTCTGATGATTTTATGCATTATGCATGTAACATATGGACTTTTTCTTGCGTAATCAGTAATTTGTTCCCCAATGCAAGCAGCATCCAAGGAAATGAATGAAAATATGTAAGGGCCAAATCAAGGCAGTACATACTACACACTACACACTACACACTACGAAACAAACGTTTGTGCATTCTTAGGGACAAATATACGGTAGACTGGACACGTTTCACAACAGTATCCACAAGACAGGCATACTTCCAACAAGAATGAACTCAGTCTCAGATATTTTACATGGCAGGAGACGACGTGGGCAGAAACTGAACGCAAAGCCAGTGTTTTAGTTCCACAAGTTTCAACAGGTACCTCAAATAATGCACTAATCAACATACTACTGCTACAGAAGTTTAAGAATATACAGCGGCAGTAAACAAAGACTACTCACAGAGCTGAATGAGATACTAAGCTGCTTATGCATGCAACAGTAGAATCTTTGGCAGCGGATGGGCTGTCCTCGATGAAGCAGACATTGTTTTATCTCTTCAAATAATGCAAAAGTGAAGCCCCACAACATAGTTGCACTGAACGTCGATATTCAATAATGAGATAACGTTTGATGGGTCACAGTAAAGAAGAAACCAGTCTGTTGCAGCCGGGAAACCCTTTTGCTTGATCGAGACAAAAAAATCAACGGATCCCTCTTCAAAACTAAGTCACATATCGCCTAATCTCCGCTAATCAGCTCTTAGGAGTTGCACCATTATGAGAAGTTTGGTTCCATTTCTTGTGGAATCTCATATTCCGTTCACTGGAAAAAAGATCTGCATCAACTTTTAACCACATAAGCTTCCTTTGTTTCCAAACATTGTAGTTTCCATTTGCTAGGTGCTCGAAGTTATTCAGAGTAAATTAAACACTCAAACGAAGCCATTCACCGAAAGCTCACAAAAGCAAGTCTCTGAAAGCACCAGCTGTGGAAGATACATGTAGCTCCATTCTTGCGAGGGCCACAAAATTGTGGATTTAGTTTTCTTACTGCAATTGCATAAGGGACATAGAAGCTCTATGGTTAGTGCATACGCCTCTCTTGACTAGTTCACCGGGGTCAAGTAAACGACTTCCCTATCCAAGGCCATACTCTATTACATTTCATGAATATACAAGATAAGTTCACATTCTCCAAATAGAGAAAGAATGCTAGGAAAATACGGAGTCCAATATACAATCGAGAAACCAATAAAGAAAAGAAGGCCCTACCATACTAAAGCCCTTCATGACAGAACATCAGCAGATGATGCTGTATGGAGAGAAACGATACTTTTTGCAGTCTGATCTCAGAACAGTTCTCTTTAGCTTTGCAAATGTTCCTGATGTTGGTTTGATATGCATCCACGCTCAACAAAACGTAACATTAGGTTGTCTGCCTCTTTGGAGTTTCCATCTAACATCAGTCTCTTGGTCACCTTC